TTTTCTTCAAAATCGACTGTTGACCAGCAGAAAGCAGGAAAACGTGCGTCTGTCAAAATAAATTCCTCAAAGCAAATCTTCGCACCGATTTAACCTGAATCCATTTATATCGCAACACATTCAGCTCCAGATGACATATTACTCAAACATCACTTCAACCCAACTGACGACTAAATCTCGGCTCTTGAAAAAATATGATGTGTCACGAGACGTCTGACATCAATATTGTCAGGAAATTCAGCTCTTCACCAAATAAGTCACCTGACTCAGAGATGGAAACCCTGGTCGCTCGAGGGATTCTTGAAGATGACTCAGCTTCATAAATTGTCAGCAGGCTACAACTTAATGACCCTTTTGCCCTTCATAAGTTAAAGAGTGCACCGTGTGATTTATCCTGCAAAAACCAACAGACTGAACAAACTCGTTAGTGGTAAGTTTACAATGCAATGCAGAATGGGGTGAAAATGCAAAATGAAACAACTAATCTAAGGGTAAAATTTGGGGTATTACACTACACTTTTACTTTTTTTTTTAATTATTCTAATCATTCTACCACCCTACCAAAACTCTCACTACACCCCACCAATTTCCCACAATACAAATCACCGTACATATTTAATTAAAAATAAACCAAACACAAATTAATTAAATAAAATACCAAATAGTCTGATTAAATAATTTAATCAAATTTCAGGGTGTTACAACTAGGGCGCAACCTAAACATTCGTTTAATAAAACTAACCAACTAATTCGTAGTTTTCTACGAAGAACTACATAGCTTTGAATTCCTTATCACACCTGAGGATACATAGGATCAAGACTTGCAATCTTGTCAAACACTATAATAAAAACCTTTTTGCGACCCCATTTCTTTTCCTTTTGAAATTTTAATCACTTGAAGGAAACAAATAACATACACTAACATTCCAATCGCAAATCTAAATAAATGGTCTCCGTTGAGTACAACAGATGTAGGGGTTCTAATACCTTCCCCTTGCATAATCGACTCTCAAACCTAAATTTGGCTGCGATGACCATTTTTTCTTTCTTTTAAGGGTTTCATCGATATTTTCCCTTTCCTTCTTTGGAATAAATAAAGTTCGATAGAAACTCTGTTCAATATTCCGCGAGCGTGCGATGCGCTCATAAGTCATATTTTTCGCGATGCGACAAACACTATGATGCGCAAACATTATTTTAAAGCTGTTGATCGTACTTTGAAGGATATACTGAGAGAAAAAACATTTCATTTGGTTGGAAGGTAGTTGTGTTGGGTAGAAAATTTTGTCAGATTCTTCCTGTTATACCTAAAGGAACAAGTCAAAAAGTTGTTCATTCTACTATAAATTTTTCTACTTTGTGAATTTTTTGTGAAACGCTTACATTGACCACTAACACGAGACTTCTAACTGAAGGTACAAATTATGACATTGAAGAAAGAAATAATTTTTTAGAGTGAATTTTGAGAATTGGTTATGGAAGTATCGAAGACGCTAATGATGAAGATATCACACTCCAAATATCACAAGATTTGTTGATTATTAGCTTTGGTGATCCACTTTTGATCATTGTTCAAAGCACATATCCAAATCTATTGCATAGCATGAGTGATCCATCATTTTTTTTCCAAAATAGAGCTATATTGGCTCCTAAAAATGAAATTGTGGATGCCATAAATGAGTACATATTGGATCTAATACCCGTAAAAGAAAAAAACTTATTTGAGTTATGATTATCCATGTAATGCCAGATCAGATGTTGACATGCTAGATGATACACACACTCTTAATTTTCTAAACACCATTGTTTCTTATGGACTTCCAAATCACAAATTAAAATTGAAAGTTAGAGTTTCAGTTATGTTATTTAGAAATATAGGTCAGTCTTTAGGATTGTGCAATGACCTGATTATAGTTACGAAAATGAGAAGGTATACGCTTCAAGAAAAAATAAATTTGGTAGCAATATTGGTGAGAAAGTTTTTATTCCAAGGTTATCACCGAATCCTTCAGATAAAAGATCTCCTTTCAAATTTAAGCGTAAAAAATATCCATTGATTGTTTCATTCACTATGACGATAAACAAGAGTTAAGGCCAGTCACTCAAACATGTTGAAATGTATATTCCCCAATCAATTTTCTCTCATGGACAATTATATGTTGCACCATCAAGAGTTACTTCAAAGAAAGGCTTACAGATACTAATAATTGACGATGAAAGTGAAGATTCAAATGTAACTAGAAATGTGATTTACAAAGAAGTGTTCCAGAATGTTCAGAGTTATTTAGTAGATTATTTATATAAAACCATGTAATTTCTTTTATGGTATTTAAAACTTTTTTCTATTTTTATTTATGCGTCATTTCATTCAACATAACTATTTGTTCGATTCATGAGATTGCGTTTTAATTTTTTTATTTGCAAGTTATATTATTATACTAGTATGGATGTTATATATGACATTTTAAAAGATCCGTGTGTCGCACGGGTCGACGTCTAGTATTAAATAATTAAATAAATATTAACAACACCAACATAACCCATTTATCCCTCCTTCTTAAGCATTTCCATCTTTCAACTCAATTGCCCCCATAACTTTCGCATTATAACGGTAGTATGTACAACTGATTCTTAATTTACAAAGATGTTGGATAATGGAAGAAAACAAACACGATATGTATATTGAAAATCTTGGTTTAAAGATTAATGTTAAGATTCACTTTATTAATTAAATAATATGTTTGAATCTTAACATTGATATTTAATGCCAAATTTTTCAAGGTATCAAAAAATTATGAAGATATACACAAATTGACCGATTGGTGATGCTGATGTACTTACAATGTTAACAAATGATGCAATCAGAGTCATTAACAATAATCAAATTTGGTGGTGATTTGTCGTTTTGTTCGTCAAACTAAGTAGCAATCATCAGAATAGAAACACTTAACTATGTTTTTGCAACTTTGCGCAGTTAACAACTGAGACATTGATGACGGTCAGAGGCACCACCAATCATCGAATTTACTGGTGGTTGCTATTTTTCTTGATCGGAGTCTGTAGCAACCATGTGAAAAAGATGGAATCACTTTAACATTTTTGCAGTTTTTTTTAATAGTAGCTGTTAAAAAAATAATGCACCAGAACTATTATCAATATGATAATTTGAAAAACTGTTCAAAAAATAACTAATAACCAAATTAAAATTGAATCTAAAAAAAACTTAAGCCCACAAAAATACTAATTAGCCAAAAATGTTTTTTTTATCCACTTAATCTTGATCCAACTTATATTTTTTTTTTTAGGGTTAAATAAGTTTTTGATTCTTCTAAATATGTCGAATTTTACTTTTAGTTCTTTCTAAAAATTTCTTTCAAAGAATTGTCCTCTTAATATTTTCTATTCACACTTTTGGTCCTTCCTACTAACCGCCGTTAATAGGAGTTGACGTGGCATGTCACGTGAAAGTTTTTTTTGTGATTGGGCATACACATGATAGTGTCAATGTGAAAATATGCTGACGTGACATACCACATGGCTAATGTCAAGATCATACTTAAACCCATAAATATTTGTAGTTAATTGGTAACTAAAATCGTAGCAAATCTGTAACAAATTCAATAATTTATAATTTAAACCTACATTTTTTATCCATTTAAGCCCTTTGTTTCAAAAGTTATTGAAATGTCTGTTAATTTACTTTCTCCATTCTTTAGTTTCTTTCTAGTATTAGTGAATTTTAGAATACACAAACTTCTTATATTTAATTTCTCTTAAGCAACTTAAAACTTGAAGATAACATGTGATCTCATGAAAGTAGGTGTTTCTGTTGCAACGATACTTCTAGATATATGGGCATCCAAATTGACAGGCATTTCCCAATCACCAACAAAATGCATAATCATTCAGTACCGCAACATTAAAAGGAGTAAGAATTCAACATAGTATACACAACAAGTGATGACTTGAAAAGACATTCTCATAAAACTATCATAAATAATTATATGCATACAACATTTGAAAGAAAACTAGCAAAAGAATGATGATCTGTATTGAAATTGTAAATATACACCAGATGGGTGGAGCTGGAGTTTGCTCAACATAGTTGTGAAGTATATTACTAAAAATAATATCGTTCACTATCATCATTTGAGGCTTTAAATGCTGTCTTTGTGGATGAAACTGCTAATACATAGTTCTATCCAAAAAAAAAAAAAAAAAAGAATTCATGTCCACTTGATTTCTTGGATCTGGTAATGATTAAACACTATTTAACACTATTTTACATCTCAGTTAGCAAATGTGATAAAAAATATTAGGAGGATAATTATTTGAAGGAAATTTTTAAACCGTGAAATTTGATATATTTAAAGAGATAAAAATTTATCGTTTTTATTTATTTATTTACTATTTTGTAGGACCCACATAAAAAAAATCTTAAACCCACAAAAATACTAATTACCAAACAATAATTTTTTTCATCCTATAATGATATTAAATTAGGATCGCTCATATTTTTTTATTATTATTTTAAAGGTAAAGATTACCACTTTTCCATGGTGGAAAATATTCACTTTTCTCATTAAAAATACCTTTGAATAATTATTTAAGTATACCAATTTTAAAATTTTAAAAGCTTTTTGTTATTATTGGTGACATGATTTTTTTAGCAAAATACTACATTTTAAACAAAGCATCTAAACCCCACTCTAAATTATTCTCCCTTTAATTAGAAGTAATATCCTACGTTTAAATTCTCACTTCTACTGTTCTTTATTTTTACATAAAACCTACATATAAGTTTGATAAATTCCCTAATTAACATTTAAATATTTAGTTAGAGTAATATTTATTATTTATTTTGTTTTCACTTTCCTAGTCCATTAATTCACACGTGCACACGCATCATTGTGCCAGGCGTAGCAACCACTGATTTTCACGTTTTTAGAATATTAAAACTAGCGGCGCGTGAGCCCCAAACTCCGTTGGCCAATTCTACAATGAGCAACAACATCGTGCCGGCATCGAGAGCAGGCGCGGTGGAGATCGCAGTTGCGGCAATAGAACTTACTGATTCCTCCAGCTGGTGGCGCGACATCGACGAATCTCCAGTGTGGCAGAGCCGCATCTTCTACACCCTCGCCATCCTCTACGGTGTCGTATCCGCCATAGCTTTGGTACTTTGCAATCCAATTCGTTTCCTCTCTATATTCCCCCTTTCATGCGTAACTCAATTTGTTTTTCAAATTAGGGTTTTATCAACTTTTGTTTATTAATTTTAGATTCAACTAGTTCGAATACAATTGAGAGTTCCAGAATACGGCTGGACTACGCAGAAGGTTTTTCATTTTCTCAATTTTTTGGTGAATGCAGGTTTGTATCAATCAAATTAATGTTCCTCTTTAATTTAATATTGTTTTCTTAACACTTGTTGATCACTATAAATCATTTTCTATTGATATGCAACAATAATTATTTTTGCAGTTCGATGTTTAGTTTTCATCTTCTTTCCGGGTGTTCAAAGTTTACAGCCAGAGGTATGAAGCACTGGTTTCAGCATTTAATTTGAATTATTTTGTAACACAGTCGGATTTTTAATATTACTATTTGCAATTCATAGCATGCAGTTCATTCGATGAAGTGTCAATTTAGTAGTAATTGTAATATTAAAACATAGAATTTAAGTCCCCTCAGAGGCAGTCGCATCAGCATCATTTTAGTTAAAAATGCTTTCCCCATTCTTGATTTTTTAAAATTTAAAATATGATCAGTCATATATCATTCACACTCTTTGTGTTTATGCATGTAGATTGTTCAACATATCTTACTTGATGTGCCGAGTCTTGCTTTCTTTACAACATATGCACTTTTGGTCTTGTTCTGGGCTGAAATTTATTACCAGGTAAGTTTGGCTTTGGTGCATTCACACTATCATCAGTTTCCTTTCTGTGGTTTTCTTCAATCGTCTTAGTGTGTTTGTCGTTTAGTTTTAACAGGCTGATTATTGTGACTGTTTTTGCAGGCACGTGCTGTATCCACTGATGGACTGAAGCCAAGTTTCTATACAATTAATATTGTGGTTTATGCTGTTCAGGTAAAAATTCTAGTTAATGTTTTGGTTGACTATGTTTTGTTGTTTTTTTCTTTTTGAGATTATTGAAGTTGCACAGTTTGTTTTATATTTGCTTAATATATGTTGAAAACACAATTGATGCAAGTGTCACTACAACCAAACATCTGGAAAATATTATTTAATTTGAGTTTTGCATGTCTAGTAATATGTTTGGTACTATAGTACTGGAATAATAAGAGACTCGAGCCATTGTCATATAATCAAATGTCAAGTGAAAGTTTTGTAGTGTTTATACAATTTGGATATAACTGTCACGAAATTTGACTTGATGCCTTTCTCATTGCCTTTCATACTATATATAATAGTGTCGGTAATTACAACTCATAATAACTAATTATAGCTGATAATGACTAATTACAATTCATAATAACTAATTTCCTATTCTATAAATGTAAATTATTCACAATAACTGCAAAGATTATTTCCTAATTAACATCCCCCCTCAAATTGATGCGGCTGGTCAAGGAGCATCAATTTGCTAACAAGAAACTGATGTCTTGGGCGTGGAACAGCCTTGGTAAGAATATCTGCAACCTGCAACTGCGTACTGACGTGAGGAAGTGATATTATTCGATCATCGTAGGCGTCACGTATTGAATGACAATCAACTTCGATATGTTTGGTGCGTTCATGAAAAACAGGATTTGCAACAATTTGGATGGCACTTGTATTGTCAGCATAAAGTGAAGTTGACTCTGTTTGGGGAAATCCAAGTTCAGCCAAAAGACCACGAAGCCAAAGTATTTCTGAACACGCAGCAGACATGGCACGATACTCTGATTCAGTAGAAGATTTAGAAACTCTTGCTTGCTTCTTACTTTTCCAAGAGATCAATGAAGAACCAAGAAACATACACCAACCAGTAACAGATCGACGAGTATCAGGACACCCTGCCCAATCAGCATCACTATAAGCGCTCAACTGAAGAGAAGTTCCAACGGAAAAGAATAATCCGCGGTGAGAGGTTCCTTTTAAGTAGCGAATTATACGACGAACTGCAGCCAAGTGAAGATGGCGAGGAGAATGCATGAATTGACTTACTTGTTGAACAGCAAAAGATATGTCAGGGCGAGTAATAGTCAAGTAGTTGAGGCTACCCACAAGTTGTCGATACAATAAGGGATCAGGCAACAGATCCCCATCATCACGATGATATTTAACATTAACCTCAAGAGGAGTATCTACTGGATTAGCCGATTCAAGACCGGCCATAAAAATCAAATCTGTAGCATACTTGTGTTGATGGAGAAAGATGCCCTTGGATGTAGAATGAACCTCAAGACCAAGAAAATAATGTAGATTACCCAGATCTTTCATATGAAATGAGGCCTGTAGCTGTTGCTTAAGTCGCTGAATGGAAGCATGATCCGAACCAGTAATAACCATATCATCAACATACAAAAGAAGCAGAACAATACCCGCAGATGTGCTATGAATAAATAAAGATGAATCATACTGACTCTGAGTAAAGGAGAATCCAAGTATAGTGGCGCGGAATTTCTCGTACCATGCTCGAGGTGCCTGTTTCAAACCATATAAGGAGCGTTTGAGCTTACACACGCCTTTAGATGAAGAGAATAAACCTTGAGGTGGAGTCATATAAATATCTTCTATCAGGTCACCATGAAGAAAAGCATTTTTCACATCCATTTGATGAAGAGTCCACCCATTAGAAGCAGCTATAGACATGATTGTGCGGACAGTTGTCATTTTGGCAACCGGTGCAAATGTCTCATCATAATCAATTCCATATTCCTGCTTGTTTCCTAACGCAACCAAACGAGCCTTGTAACGGTTGAGGGACCCATCAGAATTCAGTTTCACAGAATACACCCATTTGCAACCTATAGGTTTTACATTTGGAGGACAAGTGACGATATCCCATGTGAAATTCTCTTGAAGAGCTTGGAGCTCTTCAGTCATTGCTTTTATCCATCGCACATCTTTAACAGCCTGTGAGTAACAAGTAGGAATAGATATGCTAGAGAGTGTGGCAGTCAGAGAAGTATGTGAGGAATCATACCTGTCTGGTGAATATCTATCTGGTGCGCGGGATATTCGACCAGAACGTCGTGGTTCAACCGGTACAGGATCAGGTGGCAGTTCAGCATCGGGAAGGGGTGTGGGAACCTGTTGTCTGTGTTTTTTGACATATACATGACCTGGTTTATAACGTTCTATAGCTTGAGGCATAATAGAAAACTTAGGAAGAGTAACAATATCATTAATGGCAGGAGAACCACAGGGAAACATAAACTGATTATCAAAAAATGTCACATTTCTAGAAATGCGAAAACGATGGTTAGAGACATCATAACACACAAATCCCTTATGAGAGTTACTATATCCCATAAATGCACATTGAACGGATTGTGCTCCAAGCTTATGCCTTTCAAAAGGAGGTAAGTGAACAAAACACACACACCCAAAAGTATGTAAAGCACTATAATCAGGATGAATTTTAAATAGACGGAAGAAAGGAGAATCAAGATCAATAACTGTAGAAGGAATACGATTGATCAAGAAGACAGCCGTGGAAAGAGCCTCCACCCAAAATCGGGATGGTACAGAAGCTTGGAGAAGTAAGGTGCGTGTTACATCAAGCAAATGACGATTCTTACGTTCTGCCGTGCCATTTTGTTGAGGGGTATTGGGACAAGACCGTTGAGACAAGATGCCTTTTTGTTGAAGGTATTCCTGAAACTCATGAGACATGTACTCACCACCAGAGTCAGATCGAAAATTTTTAACACTTGCTTGAAATTGAGTTTCAACATATGTCAAATATTTCTTAAACATAGAAAACACTTCGGATTTAGAACGGAGAAAATATATCCAAGTAAAACGACTATAATCATCAATAAATGTGACAAAATATTTATAGTGAGCATGAGAAACCACAGGAGACATTCCCCATACATCACTATGAATCATCTCAAAACAAGTGGAAGCACGATTAGCACCAGACGGAAAAGGAAGTGTCTTACTTTTAGCCAATTTGCAAACAAAACATGAAACAGAGGCATCAGGAATAACATTTTTATTTCCCAACAAGCCACTTTTACATAAATGAGACAAAACAGAAGAGTTTGGATGACCTAGTTTTCTATGCCAATCCTCATAGGAATTCAAAACATTATGACAAGCAAGAGACAAATGATTAGAAATAAACTGTATTGGAAACAATCTTCCCACTTTAGGCCCCTTCGCGATCACTTTCCCCGACACCTGCTCCTGCACAAGACAACCAGATCGAGAAAAATTAACATTACAATTATTGTCCACCAATTGACCAACAGACAATAAATTAGAAGCAAGTCCAGGTGAGACAAGCACATTCTGAAAATCCGAGTTTATGTCCCCAACGTTAGTGATAGACAAGGTATTACCATTAGCAATCTGAATTTTCTGATTACCATGATAAGAATGTAAATTGTGCAAGTTTTCAGATGAACCTGTCATGTGATTGGATGCACCAGAATCAATAAACCATGGACGAGAAACATGAGAAGACTTACCCTTAATACCCAAGGCTGAAAGGGCAGAAAGTACCATGTGTTGAATCATTTCAGGTTGTAGAGCATTGCCATCTGATGCACCAGTGGTGGAAGAGCCAATTGTATGGCCTGTAGTGGCATGAAATGCCTTCACCGAATGATGTGCTGGTCGTGGAGGACGCGTGGGACAGTCAGAAATGATATGACCTTGTTGTTTGCAATAATTACAAAACTTCTTACTGCAGCTACGAGCAATATGTCCAAACTGTTTGCAAGAAAAACATTGGACATGTTGCATATCACGACCTTTATTTCTACTTTGAGCAGCATATGCAATTGCCACAGGCTCAGAACTGACAGTATCATGAGACATGGTTCCTTGAGTAAGGAGACGTTGTTCCTCCCTGAGAAGTTCACCAACACATGTATCCAAAGAAGGAACAGGATTCCTATTTAGCAAAGCACCTCTGACAACCTCAAATTCTAGACGAAGCTTCATAAGAAATTGATCTCGCCTACTTGTGTTGTAGACCTCTTGAACAGCCGCAAGAGAGGTCTTGGGAACATTAGCATGTATAATAGCAGAGTGTTCTGCCCAAAGATTTAAAAAACCAGAATAGTATTCTTGAATAGACAAATCACCTTGTTTGTAGTTGGCGATGTCTAACTCCAACTGAAAACGTTTTGCCGAATTGTCCTGGTTGTAAATGCGCTTCAGATAATTCCACATTTCTTGAGCAGTTAAAAAAGAACGCAAATTATTTATCATCTGAGGATCAATACTGTTTAGAATCCAAGTGATAATTTGAGCATCTTTAGTTTCCCACGCATCTAAAGCAGTTTTCTCCGTTGGTGCCTTAGAAACATCATCTAAGTGACTCCATAATCCCTTTCCTTTAACATACATCTTGAACTGAAATTCCCATGCCGAATAATTCTTGCCGGTAAAACGAACACAAAAATTATCTCTTTCTTTTTCGGAAGCCATCTAAATTATTAAACCACCAGATACAATCTCACTAATATTATTTTATTATTATTATAATAATATTTATAATAATAATAATAATAATAATAATAATAATAATAACTATAATATAATAACAGTAACTGTAATCACAGTTACTAGAGCAGCAACAAGAAACAATACCCACGAACCAACGAACAACAGCACGATCAAATCCACGATTTGGAAGGAGCGGCAAAACAGAAGATTATGACGATCCAGAATCACGAAGCAACAACAGCCAAGAACCAAAAAAAATTGATTGCAATATCAGCGCAACAACGAGAATCTCCAAGACGAAATCACGAACCGGCAACCAAAGATTTAGAATCTCAGACAGCTGCAAGGTTTCGATTTCAAACGAAAGAATTTCGAAACGAACACGATTACGAGAGCGAACCAGTGGGGTATCGCTGATCAGGCAATATAATAATATTTTCCAGGTTTGATCGAACCTACTGATACCATGTCACGAAATTTGACTTGATGCCTTTCTCATTGCCTTTCATACTATATATAATAGTGTCGGTAATTACAACTCATAATAACTAATTATAGCTGATAATGACTAATTACAATTCATAATAACTAATTTCCTATTCTATAAATGTAAATTATTCACAATAACTGCAAAGATTATTTCCTAATTAACAATAACTTCAATTTTTTTAGTGACTGAATTGATATGGAGTAGTTTAACACTTTGGCTCTAAAATCAAGGTGTTTTCATATGACACCATTCTCATTTTAATGACTTATGGGACATTTGGTGAAATATCAGTTAAGTTTTTTTTTTTTTTTAGGATTCTAACATTTCCACGTTTTAAGAATCTGGAAAACATTCCAACTGCATTTATCTGTTTGAGGATTCAAACATTACAGTAATTCTTTTTCGTTACAAGAAAAAAATGTTTTTCTAAAACAAATATCCTACAAGGGTTCAAATTCTCAAATAGAGGCCATGATGGATTGTGGTGGCAGGTTTTTTGGCAACTACTATGGCCAATTTGTGAAGGTTGGCGGTGCAATGGCGGATTTTTGGCTTTCCACCATGGTCGGCCATTCGGTATTGATAACATAGATTCTATTAAATGCAATTAATCTACCTTTAAATAATGCAATGACCACACTTTCACACTTTTATCCTTTTATTCTTTTTTATTTCAACATACTGTAGTAACTAATGATCTTATCATAGTGAGAGTGATAAATTTGGCTAGATACCCAATATTGTTCATTGCCTGATTAGGATTGTTGAAACTGAAAGGAATAGAGTGTAGTATTTTCATGTCTCTTATACAAGCCTTTTCTAACAAGCTAGATTCCAAGTTTAGATTTTTTTACCTTGGAGCATCATTAGGGACATCATAGCTTTATTAATATGCCTCCATCCAGTTGACAAGTTATCCACTGTCTTAGTTTCATTATTATCCTCTCTATGCTTTGTTTATGTAGATCTCCGAGTTGAGAACTTGGCCTAACTCTCTTTAGCTGTATCTTGCGATGTGGCCAAAATAGCAGTTGAAATTCTACGGATACAGACTAGAGTTAAATGTTCCAGTCAGCATCCGTAACATCAAATACTACGATAATATGCAATATAATTCTTGTCACACATCCTGTACTTCATTCCCAAAGTAATTACATGGAGTTGAAATTAATACTTAGAGCAATAGTTCTTATCGGGCCTCTCCAAATGATTCACATTCTCGCTCAACATCAATATACTTTTCTTATCCAATTAAGGTACTGTCTACAGGAAGGTTTCGTGAACCTATAGACACTCTATGTGTGACCACTTTCATATTTCATGTTCGGTGAACGAGCGTCTCTTGCCTAGCCTTCCCAAATTAGGAGAAAGTGAAATCTCCGGGAGGATTTTTGTTTTATCTCTGTTGCAAAGAACCAAAAAAATGTTTCTTTGCCAACGCGTGTCAACATGACAAGATCCTTTTTTCATATGACCCATCAATATTTTTTCATACTTTCAGCACATCTGTTTATTGGTGTGCACTAGTATATTTGATGTCCACTCCTGCTATTGGCAGTGGTTTTCACTATTGTGTAGATCGAATGGGAATTACTAAATATTTTGAATCTCTGCTGCTACTATTCTTACCTGTTATGTCCTCAAGACTCAAACTGATCTCTAACTATTGACCTTTAATATTCACTAAGTCTAATTTTTTGCCTATCATAACTACTAACTAACATTTGCCTATAAAAAACAGAGTCTATCTTTTGTGCCATTAGTCTTGATTTCTATATTTATTATAAGTGTTACATGGTTGTTACTTTCATGTTCACCAGTTTTGAGGTTGTTGAATGTCCCATCTTGTTTTTTGTTTTGTTTATGTATGTCAGATCATTTTGTGGTTGATATTATGGTGGAAACCAGTCAGTCTACTAGTCATTCTGTCTAAGATGTTCTTTGCAGGTTTGTATGTTTAAAATTTCGTTTGTCCTTCACTCTTAATTTTTCATGAGTTTTTGCTTATTAATATGGTATACATGTTGCAATAGGGGTTTCTTTATTTGCTGCCCTTGGCTTTCTTCTCTATGGTGGAAGGTATTATAATTATTATTATTTTTTTGGATTTTCAACCCCCTTTGATGTAATTTGGAATGAAACTTACTGCATCTAGGTTACAAAGTACAAGATACCACTATATCACAGAGTAGTAATTTCTGGATTGCGGCGCGGAGCGGCCGACCCCAAAAGTCAGATAGCGGGATTGTGTATGGCGGGATGACCACTCTATTTGATCATTTTTTGGACAAATTACATATAGTAATTATAAACATATATACTTAATGTAAAATTAAGCAAATAACTCAAATCATAAAATATTCATAAAATCGAAGCACACATGATTCTTGAAGTGCTTAAACAACTATGAAGTAAGGTTAAGGTTGAGTCTCAACTCAAATTTGATTGAAAAATACAAAATTATCCCTAAAACGTTGTAAATTTAAGGGGTAATTTTGGTTTTTTAGGGGGAAAAAGGATTGCAGGCCAAAAACCGCTCCAGTGTTATGAACTGCTAAGGCTCTTCCCATAGCGGTCGGCCTCCGCTCTGCTATAGCGGGATAGCGCCGCTATTGGCAGCTATTGACTACTCTGGTATTACATCAGGCTCATGCAAGTCCTTAGGAGTTTCTTTTTAGGGCCTCAGGGGGTACATTTTTCTGAGAACTGGTATTGGTGTCTATTTGTTTTTCTTGTGACTCCTCCAATGTTCTTCTCATGTTTTTTTTAAAGGATTGATTGTCAGATATGCAGCAAGATTGAATGCATTGTTGAGCTTTTGTGACTTGCTGCTTAATTTTATTTTGTTAATAACTGTAACTTATCTTTCTCTATCTATTATCTTCTCTTGTAAAATATATGTGTGTGTGTGTGTGTAATTTATTTATCAAAAATAGAAAAGTTTAAGGCATGTAGACTAAATCAAGTTCCTATAGATTCATTTAAGTTAAACGTTGAATGTTATTTGTGTACGCAAATATTATGTACCCAGTTTTGTAGTACCCCAATTCCCTATCTTGTTGTATTGTGTGTCCACTTTCTGACTGTTTCTTTGATAGGTTATTCTTGATGCTGCAACGTTTTCCTGTTGAATCCAAAGGGCGACGTAAGAAGCTGCAGGAGGTATGCAATATGACAGAGGCGGAGTGTAGTATTACTAAAACATGCTTAATCCCACGATTATAATAAAACTACTAACTATTTGCAGTTCTAATAACCTGTTACTATTTGCAGTTCTAAAACCTGTACTTTCTAATTGCTAACAACTCATAATTTTAATTTCCTAAATTACCCTCATCTAACATGTTTATACTCAATTTAGTCTTAATTATTTTAGCATATATCTTTTTCGCAATCCTAGTAATCCTAATTACACGCTTATTTTTTTACTCCAAAATTCTTCACTCAGTCCTCAAAATCCAAATACAATGCAAATTCCGTCAGCTCTTAGTATAAAATATATATTAAGATCATTAAATCACCTAAATTTCGAAACACAGGGTCATCTAATAATTCTAGTTGTGCCATGTTTCGAAAAAGAGAAAATACAATAAATAACTTGTTAAAATTTTAATGTTGATTAACAATGTAACCAGAAAAAAAGGTTATTATGGAAATATGAATAAATGCATTAGAAAAAATGCAACTGATATTGTGGAACGTTGATATAAAAATATTGACATAGAAGGCAACCTAGTGGCTTAATAGCTGCTAGCATAGCAGGGTCTAGAGAAGGGTACACTTCTGTGGTTTGATTGTATTCATCCTTACCTTCTAATTAGTAAGAGGTTGGTTCCACATCTCAAACTTGCGGTCTTCTAGTATCACAGTAGGAATTCCAACTATTATGTGAAGGCTCACCTTCCAAATATTAATATATCTCTAATAAAGTAAATATTTGAGTAAGTATTCTTTGGAAAATGATAATTAAGAGCTGTTAGTAGGATGTGGGAATAGGAAATTGAGTGTATCAACAGCCTTGCCCTCTATAAGGAAACTAGTGAAATCACACGTCCACTAGGGATATGGCCAAATTAGTCCTTGTAAGTTCTTGAGCAATTCTAGCCCCTTGAGTTAGCTCTTGAGAATCTGTGGGATCATGCACAAATTCTAAGATGTTATTAGAGCTTATCTTAAATCAGTTATTGGACCCTCATATTTGTACCCACTCCAAATGTCAAGTTTTGGGCATTAGGGGATGTTAAAATATTTGTTTTTGAGTCACCCACACTTGTACATGCTCCTGTGACAGTAATGTAAATTTCTGCTTCTAGCAGGCATGATCTGGCTATATTTCTTATTGCACCACAGAATAGTGGCAATGCAAGATCGTAGAAGATTGTGCCATTGTCTTACCATGTTATGTTATAGGAATTATGTAGAGATAAAAGAGGAGAGAGAGGAAAAGTAAATGAGAAAATAGTGACTTTGAATAATGGAAACTTGGTGTTTCTTTCTTTTCAGGTTGGCTATGTGACAACCATATGTTTTTTATGTTTCCTTATCAGATGCGTTATGGTGAGCTCCTTTTAATTTTTAAATCTCAGTGATTCCTATTCGTTGGTTTTCAAATTGAGTTTAATTGTATTTTGCTGTGTCAGATGTGCTTTAATGCATTTGATAAAAATGCGGACCTTAATGTCATGGACCATCCTATTCTAAACTTCATATATTACCTGGTAATTTTTTTTTTTAATTTTTATTTGTGCTTCTCAATTTTGGTTATTTTACTGCAAATACTCTGCTGTTTCGTTATTTTGTGGTAAGATTGGTGACCCCTTTTGGATCTAGTTGGAACATTGGATATGGGTTCATGGAAGCCACCACCTTGAACACCACATTCCCCCTTGATAACCAACTGAGATGCCACTGAGCTAAATTACTGTTTCTAGTCATTGTTCTGTTTTCATTATCATTTATTTGGGTGGTATTCTAATCTATGAAGCATGGATACAAACACGAACACCCGACACTGACATGTGGACACTTGTAATAATTTTAAAAAATGAATAAATTGAACTTAATCACATGTGCTGGTGTTGTGTCAGTGTCGGTGTCCTACACGGATACTGACACCATTTTTCAGAGGTGCCGGTGCTTCAGAGGTTGTAATCCCACATCGGATGAAATATGACACGAAAATGTGTTTATAAGTGAGAGGTATCCCTCGTCTTATAAGTTGGTTTTATAAAAATGAGTTAGGTCCAATATAGAAATCTAAGATAGACCCACCCACCAAATTGGAAAAATGTAAGGCATAAATATTGTTTATAAAAATTGGCGTTACTCACTTTACTACCAATTTTGTAGGGTTGAGTTAGGTCTAACTCATTTTAAGATGAAATCAGAGCCTATCCAAAAGTCTTTGTGCCACCCACTACTGGGCCACCCGTGTCATGCTCTTGACATACAATTTTGGGCATTAGGGTGTGTTGAAAATGTTGCATTGGATATTCATTGACATGAATTGTGTTTATAAGTGGAAGACTTCCCTCACCTTACAAAAATAAATTCTGTAATAATGAGTTAGACGCTGATATAAAACATTAAGAGGTCTATTATGTGCTCTATATGGATGGTTTTGCTTTTAAATTATAGCTGAGTGGTGAAATCCTTAACATAGTCGGTATAAATTTTTCTAACTCAAATTTTTTTGACCTTTGCCTGCTTAAACACAACGCAAAGGGACCCAGAGTATTTAAATCATATCTGTTTCAAAAGACCATTTCATGGTTTCATCATCATTTGATCAAATTTTCAATCACAGATGGAAATTTTGTTTATCAGAAAAAATTGTACTAATAGATAATCTGAATTTCATTTGGAAAGGTATTGGACTGCTATTTTGATGTATCCATAGTTGTGCTTTTGGCAATTCTTGTAGAAATAGTTTACTGGTGTAATTTACAATGATAAAGCCATTGTTCTGTTGGGTCATATTTTTCAATCTGCTCTAAGGATAAAGAATAAAAAAAAAGATGTCTATATGGCTCCGACATTGTATCTCTCCCACTGTACTTCTCACCCTTATCACATTTGTGTTGTTGCAGTTCGTGGAAATATTACCTTCTTCTTTGGTCCTATTCATTTTGAGGAAGCTTCCACCTAAGCGTGGTATCACACAGTATCACCCGATTCGCTAAAAAGATTGAACATATCTAGAAAAAAAGGAGTCATTCTTAGCTGATTCTCACAGTCCAATGGTAAATTTTAGATCAGAGAAAGCTAGTCTTTTCTCTGCTAGGAGTGACAAAGCTTCTATCATGTATTTTATAGTTCATTAAGGCTTGCAGATTTCAAAACTTACAATTCATAAATTCTCTAACGTCTGTGCTTTTATTATCACTGATATTTACTCTATCTATGGTTAAGCAAAATTAAATATAATGAGCAACCATAATAGGGAAAATGAGATTGATATCTTGTATAAAGTGTTGCATGTTCGTAACTTTATTCTTCACCATATTCTGTCTGTTTGTGCTGTTTGATCTTCAAATTAAGCATCTTTAAATAATTGATTATTTCCCATTTTAAGGTTTCATGATTTGAACACTCATTACCAAAATTGTTGCTAAGGTACAACCAAAAGAAAAACAACAGAAGCATTGAAAGCTCGTATGCTCTTAATATTAAAGAATAAAAAAAGGCTTACCTTGTTTATATTTTCTGGGATTTGACAATGATTAATAGAAAACCTTCAAGTTAGTTGTGCCATCCAATGGTTCTAGCTTTTGATGAATACTTTGTTTAAGAAGATGTGAAACAATGATTTCATCTTCAACAGATTTTAGTATGAACCACCAGCCTGTTAGTAATTGACTATTTGGTTTGATTTAATGGTTGAATGGAGGTTATGACTTATAACGGCACATGGAATAAAAGTTGATGAGAACAATTATCTTTGAATAGTTGTGGGAAATTCTCTTTCCATCTTTGGCGGTGTCTTTCACACCATTGAAAATTCAAAATTGTTCCTGTGTTCGGAAATGCTTCTACGAATGCACTTAGACCACACAAAAATGCAACTTTTTGAAATTTACCTCATTTTATAAAAAAATATGATCCGAAGATGTATATTCATATTGTATTTAGGTGTACTTAAATATGTATTTATGAAATAATTCATATACTCAATTATTGTGTTTTAATATACTGAGCTAGTTAAGTGAACGACTCTAATATTTTTGGAGATGCATATTATAAAATGATTGGCGGAAAATTGGTTAAAACACTACTTTGCATGATCTTTTTCTCTATACTTAAACAACGTTTCATTTTCAAAACTCTTAAAAAAAGTTTCTTTCAATCTCAATCACCTCTTTAACACCAAAACATAATTTTTTTTGTTTAAATAAATTTTTAGTCCCTTTATATATGGTCATTTTTACTTTTAATCCCTCTGAAAATTTTCTTCAAAGAATAATCCTCTTAATATTTTCTAACCACACTTTTGGTCCCTTCTGCTGACTGTCGTTATCAGAAGTTATGTCCACGTAACTAAAGTCAGTATTGGTCATAAATCTAAAAAGAACAATATACTTAGCTAGCTCATACTAACTTTTACGTAGCTCATACTAACTTTTGTTGGAATTGGTCTTATGTTCAGCTCATTCAACACCGGTGCACGAGATATTCCCGTTTTTTTCCAAATGTTAATATTGTTAAACTCTTTCATTTTATTTACTTTAAGCTCATAGTTTGTAGAATCTTCCTCATCTTTTCGTTCATCATTTTGTTTACTCTAAACTCATAATTTTGTTCATCACTTCCTTGGTTTTATGTCTCTGTAGAAAAGGTCACCGGTTAAAAACAACTTGAAAGCATTTTAAATATTAAATAAAGTGACATCTGTGAAAAGTTTATCAAGGATTTGATATCAAGATTCCCTATAATCATTGAAACAGAAATAACTGGTAGATTACACAAAAAGCATTGGTGGGTTGCATAATACTTCCCTACAATCCCAGTAAATGAAAGAAAAAAATAGTTAGAAAGACAACATTGATAGTATAAGAGGCCTTACATTTACATACATCTAACAAAATAATATAAGATACATACAAACTGATAAAACTAACAAAATAATATAAGATACACACAAACGGATAAAACTAACAAAATAAGATATTATTGCTGCATGTTACATACATTTAACAATCTCATGTGACAGATACTGAATACCTTGTGCGTTCTCATTTAACAATCTCTCATGTGACAGATACTGAATACCCTGTGATGTATTTTCCTCTCCCTTAAGTATAAGTAAGAATAACTAAAGGACTTTATCAAATCAAATTCTTTTATTGAAATTGTTGGTAGAGATTGTCAATTACCTACCCGTTGCTGTTTATCTGAATTCACTTTTGTATCATCCTTTGTATCAAGTGACGGATTCCAAACTGAAATTGCTTGAGAAACAAAACATCATTCTACAATGCAGACATAAGAATTTGCGGAGTTGTTCATCCATTCACCTAAGGGACAAATCAAAGATTGGAAGTTAATACACTTCAAACCAAAATAGATAAACATATATATTTTGTTGCTAATGTGATTTACCATCAAAACACGAAAAACAAAAATAGCACCAGAAAGAGAAGGAAAGAGTGGAAATAACACCAAATAAGATGTTGAACCTTCATTATTTGACTTCTATAATATAGTTACAAGTAAGGAAAAATAGATGTTACATAGATGTCTCAAACACATAGTAATAAATGCTACATAGGAGAAGGAAAAATAACTTTGTTGCATGCATAATGAAGTCAATCCAATTTGCTTTTCCCTCTGCAAACAATTGCGGTAACATGTTGGCCTCTTTGGCCGAAACCCCTTGACTAGTCCACAAGATAATATGGGGCCATGCAATTTTTGGAACTATCTTCTCTCCTTCTACTGAGCCAGAAAAAGCTTCAAATGCAGCCATTTTATCTAAGAAGAGCAATGCCGTCATGTGAGCCCGATTAAGATTCTCTAAATGTCTCTCTTTAAGGAACATGTCAATCTTTGAATTATTCGTTCTTTGGAGAAAACCCATTATGGTTCTTGCATGATGAATTTTTTAATTCTTGAAAATGTTACAAATTAGCTACGACTTTAGCAGCAAATTAGCTACGAAATTTTATTGGTTCAAATATAATGTTGACTTTAGCCATGTCGCATACCAGGTCAGCATATTTACCACGTTGGCACTACCACATGTATGCCTAATCATAAAAAATTTCACGTGGCAATGCCATGCTTCTGTTAACGGCAGTTAATATGAGGAACCAAAAGTGTGAATAAAAAATATTAGGAGGACTATTTTTTTAAAAAAATTTTGAGGAACTAAAAGTGAAAATGGGGTGGGTTTGTAAGTTTCAGTGCAAAAAGGTAAATTTAAGGGAAAACAAGGTCTCGAAGGTGGTTAGGTTGTGCTTTAGAATCCTTTTATCCTTTCTTGTTGATGTACGATGTCTTGTATGAATTATCTTATCCTTATAATTTTACGGCGAACTAACAAAATCGTTATAGCCAGACCCTACGAAATAATTCACTAACAATTACTAGAAACTTTCTTCCATAGTCCGCCGGCGTAACAGTGTTAGGCGATACATAAATCCTTAGTTCTCTGTGCCACTACTTGAGGTATCCTATCCCTATTCAACCGACTTAAGTAGAACAATTACCCTAGATCTAATACATAGGCTACGAGTCATGAATCCCTATGCATCTAACATCATATTAACAAAGTATCTCAAATAATATGCATTAAGTAAAAGAAACAACTGAATAAAATGATAAGTGATACGGTTCATACAAAGTCATACCACCATATAATGCCAATAAGGTTGAATAAAGTTCATCACACACAACCTAAAAGCATATGAATTTTCTTAAAGGATTAGCCTCCAATGGCTTTCAATGCTCTCAAAATGACCCTCTGATGCTGTAAAATCGTGCTCCTAGTGCCAAATTTCATAACCCTTACAAAAGTGCATAAAATCTCCTTTTAAATTTGTTAGAACGGGTCAGAACGCGTTAGAAAAAGTCCAAAAAAACTGTCACCATGCGCACTTTAAAAGCATCGCGCGCGCGATGATCCTTTTTACTTTTCTATCGAGTGCGCGGTAAGGCGTGATATTATGCATGATTATTCCAGTAGCTGCGTGTTTTTCATCCTTTTTTCATCATAAATTCCATTAAGTCCCATTCTTCCATACTTTGCTATTTTTCACTTATTCTTAGATCTTTCTTCATCATTTTGTCTTCTTTTTTACTCATTTTCCCCTAATTCTTCGACTGAATTCATGTAATGACAGTCTGTCATCAACAAGCTGGAATTGAAGAAAAAGTTCATTCATTTCATCCCTCATTCCTTGCATTAATCTTGTTTATGAGTTGAAAAAATGGACGTTGAATATGAATATGCATCTCCAGAAAAAGTTTGGTGTGATCCAAATGTGCATATCCAAATGATCCTGTTATTTTGATTTTAACACTGTTTTCTGTTATTAGTGGTATTAGATATAGTGTGGATGTTAAACCGGTCAAAGTGAAGCATGATATTAAACTGGATGAAGTGGATGATGATGTTAAACTGAATGAAGCGAATGATGATGTTAAATCGGGTGCTCGGTCGGTTGTTGTCGAGGTTTATGCTCATGCATAATTTACAAATAAAGAAGTGTTTATTGTTCGTGAACATATGCTACAATGGGTCTGTATGAAAGTCAGAAAATTGGAGTTTGGAATTTTAATTAGAAGGTTCGACAATGGTTATGATAGAAGACAGATATTTGTAACAATGATATGCGAAAGAAGTGGCATGTACGAACCAAAGATTAGAAAGTTGAAACGAGATGACACCAAATCGGGGAAATGTGAGTGTCCGTTTAAATTGCGCGTATACCGTGTGACGGATGAGACATAGAAGGGATGTTATTTTTTTATGCACAAATACATTGAGCGGATTATAGATGTCAAAGGTGATGTCAAGTGTGGTTTTCTAAGCTATTTCAGGTTTGCTCGGTAAGGGAGAGGACGACTACCATTTTTCCATCGCCATCTTATACAAGAGATGAAGACACATAAAAAATCATGCACAAAGCTATATGGGAACAAATCATATTACGATACAGTTCTCAATGCTCTAATTCCTTGT